AGATTAAATTAGCCCATCTTTTGGGACTCAAGAGGTTTATTTTTATTTTTACTTGAGCTTTATTCCACACTGTGTCTTGACATAAACTGGGCAGTGAACATAAGTACTTATGAGAACAGGTTACACAGCATGTAATTAAGATTGTTATTGTCAATTTACAATGCACTTTAATCCAGGATAACAGACTGAACAAAGGGTGTCACCTTACTTCCCTATGAGTTTATACTTCTCATCTCTGTGTTCTGTTGTCGTTTAGCTTATTTTTTGGCTTTTTGCTTCTCCTAATTATAATAATTTCATTATTATTTTGTTTGTTTTTACCTTATCTTGCATTGGTAATTACCATATTGTCTTCCTTTGCTTTTGTTATCAGCATATAGCTAAGGTAAACTCAAAGGCTTTGGCTAGAAATCAAGGAAGGCTTTAAAGGGGCCTATTGTGCTAATTTTCAGGTTTAATTTTGTATGTAGTGTCTCTACTGTGACATGTCTCCATGCTTTAATGTTCACAAAGCTCTTTATTTCTCTCATACTGCCTGTGCTGCAGCACCTCTTTTCACCCTCTGTCTGAAACCAGAGCCCAGTCTGCTCTGATTGGTTAGCTGGCCTGCTCTGCTGTAATTGGTCAACTGCTTAGAGATGTCCCTCCCCTTAGCCTATCATGTACAATGTATTGGAGCTCTAGCCAATAGAAGCTTGAGTGTTACACAGTGATGTCAATATGTTCTGGGAGTAAACAAAGGAGTCCAATGGAGGGGTTTCAGGCAGGGACACAGGGATTTTAGCCTTTGCAGACCATTTACATGCACAAAAACCTTTACAGGAAAGGGAAGACAACACAAAACATAATTGGGCTCCTTTAATAAAAGGAGAGCATATAGTGAAGCTGTTATTTAATAAATGTGTTTTTAGGAACATACACATAAGTGAGTCAGCTGTTATCCCGAGACAGGAAGTGGGTGTGTATAAGTATTGAAACACAGAGACATTAATCATCTGTACATTTAAAGTGGACTGACAGCCTGTGGTCTGTGCAGCGCTGCCTCCTGATTGGCTGTGGCGCTTTGATTGCTTTCTCAAGAGAAGTTTCCTGGAAAACCTCACATGCAATTTCTGTCCACAGTTCCTGCTTTGATTACAATGTCTGCTGGTTATACAATTTTTAACAATTAGCTTTCCCCAGTAGCGGTGTAAGCCACAGGATGAAACCACAAAGGAGGACTCAACTGAGAAACAGCAGAGAGCGGTCCCGTGGGAGGGAGACTTGAGGATTAAAGACAATAATCATTGGTTTTGCAGAATGCCAGGGTGTGTCTGACCAAAAGTGGCTCCTCCCTCTTTGCCCTTTATGTCTTTCAACAACATTTCCTGATTACAAGTCTAAATGGTTATCTAGTTTCTTCTGAACTCCATATTTCCAACCAGACATGCACTCATTCCCTCCCCCTCCTGCTGGATCCTCCTTCATATCCTTCCTTCAGATCCTCAGTACACTCTTGGCTGAGGCTGAAATAAAACAAATCCTCTGACAGAACTAATTGACCCCTTTCATTTTCTTTGTCATGGTTGAAAAGCCTAAATCTGGCAGTATGTCATCATGCAGACAACATGTGAATAAACCTGCTGGTGATTCCAGTAAAACAAGTATAAACCCTGCTATTACATTTGAATCATACAAGATTTCTGAATGGCTAAATGGTGTTTCTCAAGTTCAAAGATAATATCCAATGCAGTGTTTACTTTGGCCCATCATTATCTCATGTGATGGGAACATTTTGAAATGGGCTGTTGGCCTTTCTGTATGCTGATAGGAGATCGAGGCTAATTGAGCAAACAAAAGAGGGGGTTCTTGAGTATTCATTGTGTAAAACATGAGTAATCTGTGTCACAGTGCTCTAGGGAGGAGATCATGTGGTGTGTTTTTGGTTTCCAGTATCTGCCAAACCCACAGAGAGAGTGATTCCCTTAAATACTTTTTCAAAAAAACTCACATTTTACAGATTAGAAAACTATGACAAAGCTGCCATGAAGTAATAATCAGATGTTATGCTTAGATGCATCAGCTGTTGTGTAAATTCAACAAAAATAAAAACCAAAATAGTGAAGAAAATAAATGAATACAAATATGTTGGGTGTACCAAACTCATTTGCGTGGAAACGGTTGACAAAATAGAAATATGTTAAACTAATTAGTAGAAAATAATTGTATAAAGGGTTGGAGCCCTAGCCAATAGAAGCCCAAGTGGTACATAGTGATGTCCCTGTGGCTCAGGACAGTGTCAGTGTCCCCGGGCAAGACACTTAACCCCAAATTGCTTCTGTGGGGGCAGTATTGAGTGTATTTAAGTCGCCTTGTTTAAAAGTGTCTGATAAGTAAAAATGGAATTAAACCTAAAATGTTAAAGTGTATGCTGGCATGCAGCCAAATGGCTCACTGAATAGTCATATCACCTTCTTGCTGATCTCATCAACTGTAAGTTTCTAAGGTACAAAAACCCCACCCAAAACACTTATTTTCATAATGATTACATCCGCACCTCTGACCTAGGTCTACTTACGAAAAAACACAAGCACGCACATACACACATAGCACATTCTAATTATGACAGGATCTATCATTGTTAAAAGCAACCTCCTTTAACAATGAGGCATGATTTATCGTAACCACAGGAGCAAAATAACGAGTCTCTGCTACACCAGTAACGCCCCCTTATACATATTTCCCCATAAAGGAATTTTATTTCAGTTTAAATTGACAATGTTTGGCAAAATAGTTAATTCATATTTCTCATATTATATGGATGATGTAAGCATAGCCACCAAAGCCAGTCTGACAATGAAAAGATTTAGAGCCAACAAACACAATAATAATTGAATTAGGAATGCATCTCAAACCATATTAAGCTCCTCATCCCGGAAAGCTCACCGGGCTGACACTGGCATGTTAATTATTCCCTATAAATGCTTTGAATGAGTACTTGCTGCTTTCACTGTGGCATTAGCCGCTTTTTACCGAAATATTTTACCGCCGCATCTTTCCCTATGATCTATCTTCTGAAATTCGAAAAAAGGACAACTTGTGTAGCCTATGTATTGATTACACATGATAGCAGGTACACAAAAAAGAATAGAAAATTAACTTACACTGCTATGCTGCTGTTAAGAACGACTGATGATAGCGAATGTGCTCATGTTCTAGCCACCTTGCGTTTTTGGTGCATCTTTCTAGAATGTTATGTACTTGCCATGAACTGATATTTACAAATGTTAATCCCAGCGTCCAACTTAATCTCCGACACACAAGGCTTTTGGTTCTTGGTCCGGGCCGATAAGATAGTTAGCGCCCAGAATTGAACCGATTCTCGGGTCCGAGAGACGGCGCCGCCATGGTGGAAACACTGAAAAATGGTTTGCAATCTGGCACTATCTTCTAACCAGCCCTGGAACGACCTACTGCAAGAGAGGTATATAGGTACATAAACTATGGATCAAAGGACATTTCTGAGATTATAAGAACTGAAGAACTTTTTGGATCCTGATGCTACAGATGCTTTAGCACTATCTCAGCTATTGTCTTCTATTCTAGAGCAATACTGTTCTGTACCTCATGTCACTCAGGAATCTCTCAGTGCCACACAACATAACAAACATTTCTGGTAAATAACATGTCCCGTCTAATCCCTGCAGAGTGTCGGCTTGTGCTGAGGTGCAATGAGCACAGAGCAGGGCCATTACACAATGTGTGTTTGCATGTGTGAGCATGCATGTATTCGATCTATCAGGAGAACATCAAGTGCATCGCACAATGCAGCACAGCTGCTTTTTTATTGAGACCCAGAGCAAACAGAACACAACTTGACATGCCATGTAACTCCTGCTCTGACAGGAAGGTTGGGTTTACTGGCAGATTAGCAGCCCTGCTAATAAGATCAGCACATAACTGACACTTTGAACGGCTCACTTGCAGGAAACAATGGATAAGGAACTTCAGACGGTAGGATTTATCACAGCAACACTTTAATCACCTTATAATGATCTGCTGCACAATATGGTGAACGTCCAGCATTAACACCACAAAAAAGTACTTTTCACAATCATTAAAATACTATGACTGAAGTCACACATTTTAACTGTAGAGTACAGGGTGCTGTACACTGCTGCTAGCTGCACGTCAGTGTATCCATGTCCCGTAGTTGAAGACTTGTTCTGTGGTTTAGAGGCATGCCTGGCAGAAAGGCTAACATCTGATTTCCATTAGTTTGAGAACTAGCTCCTCCTCGCATTCAAGACTCCTCACCGTGGTGGAAAGTAACTAAGTACATTTACTCAAGTACAAGACTTAAGCACAATCTTGAGGTAGCCTACTAGCATATTACTTAATATTTTCATTTCATGCTACTTTATACTCCAACTCCACTACATTTTGCAGGCAAAAAAAGTACTTTTTCACCTTTGCATTTATTTGACAACATTTGTTACCTGCAATTACATATAAATATTACAAAAAAATACAAATAAGCTTATACATTATGATGTTCTATTATGGATTAAGAGAACTGGCAGCATAAGAAGTGATTAGAGTGAGCTCAACCAGCTGCAAAATTACTTATAATGGAAAATGTATTCAAATCCAGTGATTTATATTGTTGGTAAAATGGCAATTATGCAATATGAGTACTTTTTCTTTTGGTACTTTCACTATAATTTCTAATACGTTTGTGCTTTTGCTTTAAAATGTCAGCTGCAGGACTTTTACTTGTAACAGAGTATTACTACACTGTGGTACGTTACTACTTTTACCTAACTTAAAGATCTGAGTAGTTCTTCCATCACTGCTACTCACAATATACGAGAAAACGATGGAAAGAGTTATTCATAGGAAAAGGTTCTGAAGCTATACGACATCTCAACCACAGCGCGCTACACACGCGATCTTATAAACAATCTTTCTTTACATCGTATTCCCACACAGAAAGGATCTACAATAAAACCCGTCCTTACCTCAGGAAATGAGAGCCTTATTGTTCCCCTGTTCCAAATTCCAGAGGGGAGCAGAGCCCTGTTCAGAGTTCCTAGTCTTCCTGTAGTGGGGCAGTGTTTCTCTGTGTTGCTCCAGACATGCAGTCATCCTGCGCAGTCTCCTGACCGAGAGTCACTCCCCCCCCCCCCCCCCCCCCCCTCCCTCTCTGCTGCTGTAACCCGAGCCAGGTGTTCCTGCACAGCTGGCCCAGGTGAGGCATACCATCCACTTCATGTTGACACATTCTGTCAGAAAAGAACAGGTAGTTCACATGTTGCGTGATTTACAACGCCACACAATAGCTGTAGGTCTAGATACTAAGATACATATTTATGACCCTGCATGTTAACCCTTTCTATACATAAGTCTAAGCAGAGGTGTTGTACTTAAGTAATAGTAGCAATACTAAATTGTAAAATACTTATTGAAGTATTGGCATCAACATATACTTAAGAACCAAAAGTTAAACTGCTCGTTACATGTATGGCCCAATCATATTTAATCACTGGAGTATATGACTATTGATGAATTAATCTGTTAATCACAGCTATATAATGTGGAGATCATTTTAATTACTTTATTTACTGCTGAGGAAAGTCTTTATCTTTAATGATATTTAAATGTTTATTTATATTTTGTATTAGCTAGTAATCTGAATATGTGGAGTAACTAAAGCAGTCAAATGAATAATAATAATAATAATAATTTCGATTTTTATAGCACCTTTCAAGAAACCCAAGGACACTTTACAATGGGAGATAAAATAACAAAACAAAAAAATAAATAATAATCACACAGACACACAGGTTGAAAAACAGGTTGCTGGGTACTGCATTTTAGCTGGGTCCGAAGGCCTGAGTGAACAGATGGTGTTTGAGTTTTTGTTTGAAAGTGTCCAGAGAGTCGGCATTCCTGATAGCAGAGGGGAGAGAATTCCACAGGGTGGGGGCTGCGACACTGAAGGCTCTGTCGCCAAAGGATTTCAGCTTGGAGCTGAAGCCTGATTGGAAGGGTTCGTAGAGCTCATGGTTGGACATATGATGGTGGAGTTGGGCAGCAACTGCTCTTTCCATGATCTTGCTGAGGAAAGGAAGGTTGGAGATCGGCCGGTAGTTGCTGGGGTCCTCGGGGTCGAGACCAGGTTTTTTAATGATGGGGGTGACAGCTGCTATCTTGAAGACGGCGGGAACCTTGCCTGATTCCAGGGAGGAGTTGATTATATTAACGAATGGATTAGATTAGATATAGATACAATCAGATTAGATCAAGTCTATTTTATTTATCTCTGATTTGTTTACAAATGCATACACAAGCCACTGAAAGAGTACAAATAAAATGTATATAAACTGTAAAAATGTACATATATAGTTATTTCATAATAATACATAATAAGTTACAATGAGAGACCAATCGACTATAAATGTTTACAACAAAATATATATTTTTTTAGGCCTACATTTTTATGACAAGTAAGTCAAATCTATATTTGAACATAGCTATGAACAAATATGTATTTTATTTGATTAATGTTACATGCATGTATTGCTTCATCTTTGGCAAGCAGGACTTGGCCACCACGGGATTCGAACCGTAGACTTTTGTGTTTCCAGACAAAACAGCTGCAGCTGCTAACTGTTGAGTGTTTCCATGGAAGCTTTTCTCTTCCCTTCTTTAAACACATCTGTCTGTGGATCAATACAGCAGCACAGAAATCTGATGTGATTTGATTTATTTTTACCATTTTATATATTTTTACCCACCATAAGCTGGTAAACTTAAAAAAGCATGTTAATGTTTAAAGGACTCAGTGCTAATAGTGTGAGAGCAAAGATTTATTTAGGGACGTTCTTCAGTATTGTTCTTTTTGGAGGCTAAACTGCCCCCCTCAAAGTTATGTTTTAATTCGTTTTTTTCACAAGTTTCTAAATTAAAATGAACCAAAATATCTAATCTCTGAAGTAGGAGATACCCATATTAAAACCCTCTAACATAGGCTACATCAGTCCATTAATTTATCCATTTATTAACCTTAAATTTGTATCTTAATAAAAAACTGTATGTCCTTTAAGATACAAATTAAGTTTAGTTACCGTTTATACTGCGTCAGGACTTCCACTTAATAACCTTTGTCACAGAGGGCAAGCAAATCTACATTGTGGATGTGGTATTGTTACGTTAACATAGTAAATTACCTGAGAAGCCTAACATTTTTAGCACGTCTTTTGGGGAAATCCTTTTGATTCTTTTTGTGGTTAAATCAGACAAATATCAAATATCACCAAATAATTAGGTACAGTTACATCACTTTAAATTAAATGGACCTCTTCCAATAAAGAGCCATTCTCTACCTAGGCTCTCTAGACTTAAAAAATACATTCACATGTTCACAATTGTTAATAAGGCTTTGGGAACAAAATACTATGGCCCAATCCCAAACCACGCCCTATCAATCAATCAATCAATCAATGTTTATTTATATAGCCCAATATCACAAATGTTACATTTGTCTCAGTGGACTTCACAGTTTGTACAGAATATCAGTATGACAATACGAGACCCTCTGTCCTTAGACCCTCACATCGTACAAGGAAAAACTTCCAGAGAAACCCCACAGTTTAAAGGAGAAAATGGGAGAAACCTCAGGGAGAGCAACAGAGGAGGGATCCCTCTCCCAGGACGGACAGACGTGCAATAGATGCCGTGTGTAAATCGAAGAGATAATACATTTTACAGCATAGGTAGACCAAATGTTTGGAAATGCATGTGTCTATAATAAGAAGATGAATCCACGAGGATGTCAACAATCCTGTGGGAGCCATCAGGGAAGTAGTATGATGAAAGTCAGGCAGGAACACAGTGACAGGTTCAGCCACGACTCAAAATCCAGGACTCAAATCAGGACTCAGGACTCAGGATCAGCCACGACTCAGGATCCCAGCGTAGATATAGACACCAAAAAGAAATTTGGGGGAAGCTGGGTTATTCGGAACATGAGAGTACACAGGTACAGACAGAGAGAAGGAAGAAGTAAGGTGTCCCCCGACAGTCTAAGCCTATAGCAGCAAAACTAGGGACTGAATCTAATCAGCCCTAACTATAAGCTTTATCAAAAAGGAAGGTCTTAAGCGCACTCTTAAAAACGGATAGGCTGTCTGCCGCCCGAACACAAACTGGAAGCTGATTCCACAAAAGTGGAGCTTGATAAGAAAAGGCTCTGGCTCCCATTGTACTTTTAGAGACTCTAGGAACAACCAACAACCCTGCATTCTTGGAACGCAATGCCCTAGTAGGACAGTAGGGTATAATGAGTTCTTTAAGGTAAGATGGCGCCTGCCCATTAAGGGCTTTGTAGGCGAGAAGAAGTATTTTAAATGATGTCCTGTGTTCTATAGGGAGCCAGTGTAAGGCAGCCAGAACAGGAGTAATGTGGTCCCTTTTCCTAACTCTGGTTAGTACACGTGCTGCAGCATTTTGAATCAGCTGAAGTGACTTAACTGACTTCTTGGTACACCCTGATAATAAAGAGTTACAATAATCCAGCCTTGAAGTAACAAATGCATGGACTAGTTTCTCTGCATCGTTTTGAGGCAAGATATGCCTGATTTTTGCTATATTACGTAGATGAAAAAAGGCGGTCCTTGAGATTGATTTTATGTGGGCGTTAAAGGATAAATCCTGATCAAATATAACACCAAGATTCCTTACAGTCTCACTGGAGGCCACATTAATGCCATCCATAGTTAATATATCTTTAGATAGTTTGTTTCGTAGAGTCCTACACACAACCTGCAGGTCCGCTGCAACTCTTACTACTTTTAAATCCAGGCTGAAGACTTTTCTTTTTGCCGCTGCTTTTAATTGAACTATTCACATCTTAAACTGCACTGTAACTTTTAACTTTTATCCATGTATTTTTTCTTTTAATGTTTATTTTATTATCTTTTCTTTTTAATGACTGATTTTAAATGCCATTTTCATAATGTCTTCCATTTTTGTAAAGCACTTTGAATTGCCTTGTGTTGAAAGGTGCTATATAAATAAACTTGCCTTGCCTTGCCTTGCCTTGCCTTGCCTTACCCAGAGCCGGCCCGACCCATTAAGCGACATAAGCGGCCGCTTAGGGCCCCGCAGCCACTAATTTTTATCTCAGTACACCGTTTTTTATCTCAGTACAGCATCGCTGTGATAAGTATGTTTAATTAATTTTGTTAATATGCCTAGATTGCCTACTCTCAAAGTCATGTATTATATTATTGAGTCAATCATATAATACATTAACCATGCTTTACCTGAACCTCATCATGACACTAGAGAGGACGGCAGGATTGTAATTTCCCGTGTTCAGTGAATGCAACAGAGGCAAGGCACCAGACCAACCAGAGAGTTGAATGGAAATAAACATCTGTCCTATTGGCTGACAGGTACCTATCCTGTGAGCTGTGACAATGTTTAAAATAAACTCTCAGTCTCAGGCCGTTTCTCAATCGCGAGGATGCTGGCTTGGTAGCACAGCCGAGCAGAGCATCTTGCTTCAGAAGCAAGGCAAGAATACTTCCTGGCATTCGGAAAACGAAGAGTGGAACAGGCTAGCAAGTGTGCAGGTGTGCGTCATATGAGAGGCCCCGCCTTACATCTTCCGCCACAGATTTGGGAAATTGGTCCATGCGCAAAGCATTGTGGGGATTTTAAGGACGCGAAGTCTACCCATGTGCAGCCTCGAAATTTCCCCCAAACCAAGGACACGGCCTCGGTGGAATTCCAAGTATGCTGGAGATTGGAACAGTCCTTCGGCTGCACTCGATGGCGTAGCATCCTTGAAATATTGGCTTGGAAGCCAATATCCTCACGATTGAGAAACGGCCACAGACTCAGAGTTTTTGAAGATGGACATAAGAACATTTGTTCTTAAAAATACGACAATTCTCAAGTGGTGGTTCACACAACAACCCCAGAGCCAGCACTTGAGCCAGGAGAAATTACAGCTACGTTGACGTTACTTTGAATCGCGGCGGTAAGCTAAACCGTTAGCAAGTAGCTATAGCTAGCCAGATATATTAAATAAACACTTTGTCATACAATCTAAATGTAATGTTTTT